ACCTTGGCAACTTGAATGCCTCATGTCGGCTGAGGCATTCTGGAAGTCCACGTGTTTTCAAGTTGCCATGGTGTAGAAACAATGGTCTAGAGGAGGGGTCTCCACCCTTGGCAATTTTAAGCTTAGAGGACTTCAACTTCCAGAATTCTCCAGACAGCTTTTAAGCGAGTTTTTACGATCTCTCTTGCCACAGTTGTTAAGTGAATCATGGCAGTTGTTAAGTCAATCTCCATTAACTTTGCTTGTTGGAAGGACACTAAACGGGACGAGAGGATGCTGGGACCGTCAGAAATATAAATCCATTGCCAAGTTTGGTCATGTGACCATGGACATAATGCAATGGCCGTAAGTGTGAAAAATGGTCATTTTTTTGGAGTGCTGTTGTAATTTCGAATGGTCACTAACAAACTGTTGTAAGTTGAGGACTATCTATATTCTTGCTCAAAATCTGAACTGACTGCCTATGGTAAATCTGTGAAATGAAACACTGCAAACCCTTCCCCAGCATCAAAAATACACAGACGTGAGCTAACCCACTTCCTGACTTGCAGGAGGCAAAGAAGATAGAATAACAGAGTTGGAAGGGACCTTGGAGGTCTTCTAGTCCAACCCCCTGCTTGAGTAGGAAACAAGAAATAGCTTGACCCCTTCCTCCCCGTGGCAGCCCCTCAAATATTGGAAGACCGCTATCATGCCTCCCCTGGTCCTTCTCTTTACTAGACTAGCCAAGCCCAGTTCCTTGTATGTTTTAGTCTCCAGTCCCCTCATCATCCTGGTTGCTCTTCTCTGTACTTCTTCTAGAGTCTCAACATCTTTTTTATAATGTGGTGAACAAAACTGGATGCAGTTTAGTCTAGGTGTGGTCTTACTAAGTTGTTAAGTTGTTCCACTGAATAATTGGAGGTGTAGGCCCACACACAGAAACTAGAAGACGGTGAGTTCTAGTCCTGCCTTAGGCATGAAAGCCAGCTGGGTGAGTTTGGGCCAATCCCCAGGAGACGGTGAGTTCTAATCCCGCCTTAGGCATGAAAGCCAGCTGGATGACTTTGGGCCAATCACTAGCAGACTGTGAGTTCTAGTCCTGCCTTAGGCATGAAAGCAGCTGGGTGAGTTTGGGCCAATCAGTCTCTCTGAGCCAAACCCACCTCACAGGGTTGTTGCTGTAGGGAAAATAGAAGGGGACAGTACTGTATGTTTGATACCTGACGTTAATAATAAACTACAGATAGTCCTTGACTTACATTCCTTTAGTAACCATTTCAAGTTACAACAGCACTGAAAAAAGTCACTTATGACTGTTTTTCACACTTACGACCGTTGCAGTATCCCCATGGTCACGTGATCAAAATTTCGGACACTTGGCAACTGACTCGTATTTATGACGGTTGTAGTGTCCCGGGGTCATGGGATCCCTTTTGGCGATCTCCTGACAAGTCAACAGGGAAGCTGGATTGACTTTAACAACCGTGTTCCTAACATAACAACTGTGGTGACATAGGCCTACAGGAGAAGGTCCAAGCTTTCCAATGCTAAACAAACACTGGCACAATTAAATTCAGAGGCAGTTAGTTCTGTATGCTGAGTCAAAAGAGAAACTGCTCATTCCTGAACGAGACAACCGCACCCTCTAGTGTCTGTTAAAAACAAAACGAAGGAAAAAGTTTTGCTAAGAAAGGTGCACGTTTGAAACTCACGTTGAAGAAACGGTAAAATTTCCAACTCCTGTTGCATCCACTGTGGTCATAAGCCAAGAATTAGTATGTATCTACAATAGAAAGTCATGGATCAAGTGTTTTTAATCAAGGCGTATTTGGTCTAAAATTTCTGTTGCTAAGCAAGACAGTTGTTAAGTGAATCAGTGCAGTTTAAGTTAGCAAACACAGCTGTTGTGAATCTGGTTTCCAGTCGTAAGTGTGAAAAACTGTTAAAAGTTGCTTTTTTCAGCACCGTTTAACTTTGAACAGTCAATAAATGAACTGTTGTAACTTGAGGTCTACCTGTATAGCCAATATCTTTCCATGAAGAATTAAAGATATGAAAGCAGTTCTAATGAAACCCAACTTTCATGATGGCCACAAGGCCGGCAAGTAAGAAGAAAAAGGAGATAAAAAAAATCTATATATATATAAAAGTGAAATACCACTCACACATCATCACAAAATCTCCAGAATCGTAAAGCCTACAAACTTGAAATTTGGCAGGTATATTCCTCTTGGCTTCTAGGTGCTCACTAAGAAAGGATTTTTCGAAATGAACATCAGAGCGTTAGTATTTTCTATATAACTATTATTAACACGCTCTGATGCTAAGGAGTTCTACTCCCCCTCCCCACCTGAAAAGAAATCTCTTCCAAATGCAAAACACCGGCAGAGGAGAGGAGTTTCGGTTTTAGTTTCACAGCACCAAGCAGCTTTTAGTACAGAACAGTTGAGCCAAGCCATGGCCAGCCTCCTTGCTGTCTCGTTCTTGCTCACACAGCAAATACTGTTTCACTTTCCAAACAGCCCTCAACTCTCTCTCACACTGACAGGACGCTAGCCAGATGAATACCGATGGATGCTGGTAGGCAGAGGCAGAATTTTTCCCCCTTATTTTCCACCCCAAAAACTAAGCCCCACCACATAGTCTTGTAGCAAAGCACGGGTAACAAGCTAGTAAAAATATAAAGCAAAAAAAAGGAGGAAATTAAACCTTTCAGAGGTATCAACAGCAAGGAACACATTTCACTGAAAGAGCCATCTGATTTTGTTTGAGGAAAAAAAAAATACTTAATTTTTCTCTTTCAGCCCATTTTGCACAAGTGATGCATGAGGCGCTACCGATGAGGTTTCCTCTATTTTGAACTGTTACCCTCCTGACAGCAAATGGCCACGATCCAAAACCAACCACGGCATTCGATTCCAAAGAAGCAAAAAATAGTTTTCCAGATAACGAAAGTGAAAAAAGGAAGATGCCGACTCCTGTGGTTTGGCTCCCGCCCTGCACCAAACCGTAAAATCGTTTGCATGCTTTTGGCAAGGCGCACTGGCGAGAACACAGCCACTGTAAAGAATTTTAACCTAGAACTCCCAAGCATGTGTTAACCAGGCGCAAAGCAACAGACCAGGAAGATGGAAACAGAAAGACTGGAAGACGGGGGTTTTCAGGCACAGATTCAACCTGGGAATTTGGATTGTTTGGAACCACAACCGGGGAAGTTCTAACCAACTTTGTCGTGTTTGGCTTCTCGGTTAGTTGGTTGGTTGGCTGGCGGGCTGAGGTGTTGATGTGTTGGTTTGTTTATAAAATGTATAGGCCATCCCATCTTACCTCAAGATAACTCTGAGCAGCTCACAGTCATAAAAATGGTATAAACTGTATAAACTAAAAACATTCTTTGGTCTTCCAGCCCATGATTGGATGAAGAAACTGTGGTAAGGCATTTTATATATACTTTTCAATAGAAGAGAGTTGTCCCAAAGGCGCTTTTTTTTCAAGAGGCAACTGGACTTTCTGGTTTTTCTTTGAAGATGTTTCGCTTCTCATCCAAGAAGCTTCTTCAGCACTGACTGCACGGTGGGGAATGGAAGGATTTATACTCCTTTTTATTTATTTATTTATTTATTCCCTTCCATTCCCCACCATCCAGTCAGAGCTGAAGAAGCTTCTTGGATGAGAAGTGAAACGTCTTCAAAGAAAAACCAAGAAAGTCCAGTTGCCTCTTGAAAAAGACCTTTGGGACAACCATGACCTGGAGGACTGAGAATCTCCATAGACAATAGAAGAGATATTTGTAGCTCAGGGTTGAACTGTGGGATCTTTGATGCACTCTGAGCTTGGTGGTTTTCTTGCAGGACGTTTCATTACCCAACTAGGTAACATCATCAGTGCTACTGCTGATGTTTCATTACCAAACTAGGTAATATCACCAAGTGCCACGGTGTGAAGGGTCTTCATGACCCCCTGAAAGTTCATGTTCCAGAATGAGCAGCATCCTAAACTAGTGTTTTTCAACCTTAGCTATTTTAAGACATGTGGATTTCAACTCCCAGAATTCCCTAGTCAGCATAGCATGGCTGGGGAATTCTGGGAGTTGAAGTCCACACATCTTAAAGTGGCTCAGTTGAGAAACGTTGTCCTAAGGATATTTGTGGGTAGATACGAGTCCAGTTCTCCAGGTATCCTGAAAGGAAAAAAGCTGCCAGGAATCCAAGCATCTAATTTGGCTCATAATATTGTGGGAAGCCAACCACTGTGTTTTGTAAGCCACTATTCATAGTTTAACTTAACGTATGAACTCATCTGACTACAGTGGATCCAACAAGCCGAGATTAAGGAAAATCCAGTCATAGGATACCTGGCCATATCTCCTTCTTAAGTAATACATTGTACAGGTAGTCCTTGACTTACATTTGAGCCCAAAATTTCTGTTGCTAAGTAAAACATTTGTTAAATGAGCTTTGCTCCATTTTATGACCTTTCTTGCCACAGTGAAGTGAATCGTTGCAGCTGTTAAGTTAGTAACACGGTTATGAAGTGAATTTGGCTTCCTCGATGACTTTGCTTGTCAGAAGGTTGCAAAAGGTGATTTTGTGACCCTGGGAGATTGCAACCGTCCTAAGTACATGGCAGTTGCCAAGCATTTCAATTTTGATCACAGGAGCATGGGGATACTGCAATGGCTGTGTGAAAAAAACAGTCGTAAGTCACTTTTTCAGCGCTGTTGTGATTTTGAACAGTCACTATATAAGCTGTTGTAAATCGAGGACTACCTCTATATTCTGCCCTCTAACTTTATTCTTAAACCAGGACAATTAGATGCTTAATTTCTGTAATTGCTTCAGTACTATTTTGATTAAGTTTAAACTCAGTTATCTGTTGAATTTAAACTCCTCTCATCCAAATCTATTTTCCTCTTGCCTGCCACAGTGAGATAGATCATGCAAATGTGCTTATTTTCCTCAATTTCCCCCCCAAAAAATTTAGTGAAAAATCTCAACCTTTGAAAATGTTAAACTTACCAAGTAGAGCAGAAAGGTGTGAAGACCAGTTCCAAGCCCCACTGAGGACAGGATGCCTAACCCGGCCCAATAGGCGCACCACAAAAGCCTTTTTTCCATATACTGCACATACTGAGGAAGAAGCAAAATAAAAATAAAAATAAATTCATCAACGGTCTAAAGCAAGGGTCTCCAACCTTAGCAACTTTACGACTTGTTGGACTTCAACTCCCAGAACTCCTCGGCTATGATTCGGCTGAGGAATTCTGGGAGTTGAAGTCCACAAGTCGAAAGTTGTTAAGGTTGGAAAGCCCCCGGTCTAAAGAAAACACATCCTAGTGATTAGAATGCAGTATTGCAGGCCGACTCTGCCCCCTGCCGGAAGTTCGATCCTGACCAGCTCAAGGTTGACTCAAGCCTTCCATCCTTTCGAGGTTGGTAAGATGAGAACTCAGATTGTTGGGGCCAAGATCCTTACTCTGTAAACCGCTTAGAGAGGGCGGTAAAGTACTTTGAAGTGGTATATAAATCTAAGCGCTATTGCTGCTGCTATTGGCAGAGATCCATGAAGCTTGGTTAGCCTCAGCTTACGTCAGCCTCTGTAGCTTCCAAAGGTAGGGCGGGGAGGCGGATTGTTTTAATTCAAGTTCGGATTAGATGTCTCTTTCTCGTACCTACCCTCCTTTCAAAACAACCTACTTCTTTGCCGGCTTAGAGGCAGATAAGAGAAACCTTATCCCTCTCATCCCGAATTAGAAGCTTAAGAAAACGAACAGCGGCCTCATTCTAATTCAAGAATCTCCAGAGTAAGTGGGACAGACGCTAGGTTGTTTTCTGGACTTCGGGAAAAGCTGATAAATAGTTATAGCTTTTGCTTCTTTAAAAAAGAAAAAGTGTACGGTAGCAATACAAAAGAATGTTCGTAGTCACGGCTAAACTATAGGGTCCTTGGTGCTGTCTGAGCTTCGTTGGATTTTTTTTGTAGACCTTTCATTACCTAGCTAGGTAACATCATCAGTGCCAGAAGGGTGTGGGATGGCAGAGAGGAGGAGGATGAGCAGGAAGGACTATGTGGTCCATGGTGCTCTCTGAGCTTGGTTGTTTTCTTGCAGATGTTTCATCACCCAACTATGTAACATCATCAGTGCTTAGAAGGGAGTTTCCTCTCTTTTTATATATTAGTGGCTTGCCCTGCCCTTTCAGTGTTTGTGGGAGTGTTTTGGTGGTTCCTTGATTAAGCTGTTGTTTACTCGCTGATTATTTGTCTGAGTTCATAGTTCCTTGATTTGGTGTTGTTTACAGCCTGGTTGTTGATCTAGTGTTAATCGCAGTGTTACCACCGAGAACACTCTCACCAGTACAAACAAATATGGAGCAATCCTCACTCCCTTCTAGTACTGAAGATGTTACCTAGTTGGGTAATGAAACACCCAGAAGAAAACAACCGAGTTCAGAGAGCAACCAAAGGACCCCAAAGTGTACACTACTTGTTAGCAGCAACCTACTAAGCATATGAAGTCTAGTAGTCGATTAAGATATGAGAGGTAATATGGGACAATGGTTAAAATGCTGGACTAATATCTGATAAATCCAGGGATATAAGAATCTCCTTGTACAGCGATTCCATCTATAGTAGGATTCCCCAACCTTTTTGGCTTTACGGACTGATGGGGGGGTGGGGTGGAGAGGGGATTGTTTTGCACAAGCAGTGTGCACACGGGCCTGCTGCTCATACAAATGGAGCATGCATGTATGTATGTGCCTCTTGCTGCTTACACGTGCGCTCACCCGCCACTTCGGCAGCCCAGTTCTGAATGGCTCAAGATCCGGTAGTGGGCCGCAGCCCGGGGGTTGGGGACCCCTGACCGATAGGGTTATTGCGAGGATAAAAGTGTCAGGGTCTCAAGTAACACAACCCCAAATGACACAACTCCGAGGCACAAGATCTCCTCTATTAGGGTATGTCAAATGGGCACAATTCCTTCTGGTTTTCCCCCCCAATTAGCAATAGCAATAGCAATTCACTTATTTTTAGTTTAGCTTAGTTTAGTTTACTCTATTGTCATTGCACTTCGTATGACAAAATTAAATGCCATTTTCTGTGTACATTATAACTATAAAGATAAAACACAAAGACACATCCTTCACACTCCACACACTGAATTGAAAATCCCTGATATTGCATTAATATTGCACTATACAGCAGAGTTCAACAGAGCTACTGCCCTGGGATAGAAGCTGTTTTTCAGCCTATTTGTCCTTGTTTTTATTATCCTGTACCGTCTGACAGATGGTAATAGTTCAAAAACAAGGGTTCCCAGGATGAGATGGATCTTTGAGAATGTTTTGAACTTTCTTAAGGCAGCGGGAGCTATAAAGCTCTTCCAAAGAGGGGAAGAGGGCAACCAATGATCTTCTAGGCAATGACGTTAACCCTCTGGAGTGCTGTCCTTGGCAAACCATACGCAGGTGCAATAAGTTAAAATGCTCTCTATGGTGCAGCGGTAGAAGGTCACCAGCAGTTTTTCATTCAGTTTTATGTAGTGCTTCATAATGCTTTACAGCCCTCTCTAAGCAGTTTACAGAGTCAGCATATGGCCCCCAACAATTTGGGTCTTCATTTTACTTTGTGACCTTGGAAGGATGGAAGGCTGAGTCAACCTTGAGCCTGGTGAGATTCAAAGTGCCAAATTGCAGGCAGCTGGCAGGCAGCAGAAGTAGCCTGCAATACTTCATTTTAACCACTGCGCCACCACAGCTCATTAAAAGCAAAAGTTTGTCACTTCCCCAGAGGCGTCAATCACATGGCCCAATCAGTACACAGTCCAGACATGAGATGGTACCAGTCTCCACCTCCCAAACCATCTACACACTTGACCTTGGTTCCCAAGGGAAAGAATATTACTTTGGCTGTAGCGCCCCAGCTATTTCTACACACACACCCCACTCCTTATCCCTCATCTCCAGTCTGTGTCAGCACTGAAGCTCTGAAGAAAGGAAAAAAAAAACCAGTAGAACAGAAAGATGGCCACCATCTAGCCAGCTTCAAGGTTGACAAAAAGAGGTTCGAAAGAATCTTTAAAGCTCTCATCTGGCTTGGTACCAATGTGCTATACTTACAGCTTGGATAAAAATAAAAAAAAACTAGGGAGAGAATATACGTAAACCCTTTGGGAATTCAGGAAAACACCGGATTAACGTTGCGCACGTACTTACCCGTTGATGGGCTCCTTCGATATAATACGTAGATGTAAGAATGGCAAGCAGCAGCAATAGGGACACCACTATCCTTCGGCGATGCCACAGTCTGAGGGAAAGGAAGAAAAACTGCTGTTACAATTGCAAGATCTGGAAAAAGGAGCGCAGATAGTCCTTGATTTGCAACTGTTCATTCAGCGACCATTCCAAGTTATAACAGCACCGGAAAAAGTGACTTCTGACTGGCCTTGCACTTACGACGACTGCAGCAATATTTTAATAATGCGATCAAAATTGAGGCAATGTACATAGCCATAGCAATAGCACTTACTTAATACCACTTTACAGCCCTCTGTAAGCGGTTTACAGAGTCAGTCTATTGCCCCCAACAATCTGGGTCCTCATTTTACCCATCTCAGGATAGAATGATAGCGTGGGCAAAAAACTTCGGCTACACAACAGAAGTAGATGAATCGCAGAAGTTGTGGGATAGGACCTATAAACTGACAATGTCAACCGCACACAAAGGAAACTTATCTAAAATGTTTTATAGATGGCACCTCACACCGGAGAGGCTGGCAAAGACGTTTAAAGACAAACCAGCTAAGTGTTGGAAATGCCACCAGATACCTGGGTCATATTATCATACGTGGTAGACATGCGTAGAGGCAAAAAAATACTGGACAAAAATACAAATGTAGTTGGAAAAGATGACAATGCAGCTTATTGACTTAAAACCAGAAATATTTTTGTTGGGGATGTTACCCAAATGCTCTTCAAGGGCAGCCCCATGTAGAGCACACTGCGATAATCTAACTGAGAGATGACCAGGGCATGAGGAACTGTGCGCGCTGGGGTCTCCCCATCCAGGTTTAAGGGCGCAACTGGTGCACAACACAAAATTGAGCAAAAGCCTTCCTAGCCACCACTGCTACTATGACACCTGCAGGAGTCATGAATATAGGAGAACCGACAGATTTTGCACCCAGGCTCTGTCTGGGGCCGTGCATCCACATCCAGAAACAAAGATGCTAAACAATGGAATCCTGAGGTCAAGATGGATTTTATTTAAATCAAGTCTATTTAAATCACGATTTAAATCACTAGCAAAAAGGCTTAATTTAAATCAACTCGGTTTAAATCATCATTTTTAAAGAGCCACTGTCATCTCTGTCCCACAGCAGCTCTTTATCTGACCAACTGTTGACTCCCTGACAGACCCTTTCACTTTAATGGGACAGCTGATGATGCGGCAGTGATCCAACAAGGTGAGGGATATGACGGGCAGCAGGTGTGTGGATACCCACTAACAGGTGCTGCCATGATGGATCTAAAATAACAGGTGCTCTTTAAATGGTGCTCTTTAAGGATTCATTCTTGCTGGTAAGTTAGAATCTTTAATATTATTATCTGCAAACAAAATAAAGGTTTCCTATTTAGCTTGCAGATCTTGGATTCATTGAATGAGAATATATACAGCCTCCTGGTATGTAACTAAGCTCAATTTCATGCTGAATAAACTAAATTATTAGTGTATCTTAAATAGAAAACTCTCTTTAGATAGATTTTTACTCCAAAAGCATTTTATTAAAATAAATTTGATACAAATAAAAAGAAGATCCAATTTAAAATTTAAAAATCCGATTAAAAAAAAAACAAAACCCCATAGATTTTTACCCACCCTGCCTGAGGTTGTCCTAGTCTTTATGGGACATATACCAGGCACAGCTCCAGGGTCATCGTTGATAAAAGCATACGCTGCAAAGGACTTTCACCAGTGGAACTCAATGTTCTAGGGTAGGGCAAAAGACTGATAGTGTAAATGATTACCCTAATTATAAATAGATCGTTGATGGAGAAATGTCCTATATCTGGAAGAATCAAAGTGGCAACGAGCAGAAGACAAGACTATGGAACGTGATCTAGCGTGCCAGTTTCAGGAGCCTTTTTGCTAATTCTGTGGATGTCCCGAGTATTTAAACCTCATTCATTCAAAGGCTGGAAAGAGGAAGAGTCAGACGGGATTTAGCCTAACGGAAAATAGCTGATTTGGGGCCAAAGTCCTCTTTTAGCGGTTGGAATACAAGTTCCACATAATCCTGATCTTTGCCCAATGAAGAATTTTTTTAAAAAAAAACCACATTGTAATGTTAAAGTGAGAAGCATCTGATTCCCCCAAGCCAGCTAAGAAAAGGATGGATGGGGAAGACAGGAAAAAGGAAGAATTAAAAATAATAAATTTCTCTCTATATAAAAGCGAAAGACCACTCACACACCATCACAAAATCTCCAGAACCGTAAAGCCTACAAACTTGAAATTGGGCACGTATGTTCCTCTTGGCTTCTAGGTGATCCCAGGATATTTCAAAATGACCATCAGAGCATTAGTATTTCATATATATTTAACAGGCTCTGATGCTAAGGAGTTCTACTTCCCCTCCCCACCTGAAAAGAAATCTCTTTCAAATGTAAAACGCAAGCAGAGGAGTTTCAGTTTCAGATCAGCAATCAGCTTTAGTACAGAACAGTTGAGCTAAGCCACACCCAGGCTCCTTGCTGTCTCCTCCTTGCTCACACAGCAAAAACTGTTTCAATTTCCAAACAGCCCTCAACTCTCTCACACACTGACAGGACGCTAGCCAGATAAATACTGATTGGCTGATGGATGCTGGTACACAGAGGCAGAAATTTTTCCCCTTATTTTCCTCTCCAAAAACTAAGCCAGATGACATAGTTTTGTAGCGAAGCACGGGTATTGAGCTAGTAAATAAATAAAATAGCAAGCTTACAGGTTGTCCTTGATTTACAACAGTTCATTCAGTGTCTATTCAACATTGCAACAGTACTAACGAAGTGACTTACGGCCATTTTTCAAACTTACGACAGTTGCAGTATCCTCATGGTCATATATGTATTTTTGC